AAAGAACCTAAATATCCATTAATAAGGTATTGAGTACATTTAACAATTTCATACAATGGAATTAGCTTTTAAAAAGAATGAGTTAGCAGGGACTGGTGGTACATGTCCATAATCCCAGCAATGGAGAGGCTGAGGCAGGAGGATAGAGTTTGAAGACAGCCTATACTACATAGGGAGTTCAAGGTCATCCTGAGTACAGAGCAAGACCCTGTCTCAAAAAAAAAACAAGAGCTGGTGATATAGCGCAGCAGTAGAGTGCTTATCTAGCATGTTCAAGGCTCTGGATTCAATCACTAGCAATGAGGAGTGGGGGAGCAGTTAGTTCTAAATGTTCTGACAAAAAGATTTCAAAGATATATTATTATAGTAAAAATGCAATGTAGAAAACAATGCAACCAGTGTACCCTATGGGGAAAATATATGCACACAAATATGTTTCCAAATATGTAAAATACCCAAAGAAGAGACACAAAAAATTGGTAAGTGGTTGTCTCTGGGGAAAGACACCAGATGTTTAACGATTGGGAAAGGAGATTTTTTTTTTTACTGTACTTTTCATGACTTCTCAATTTTTTACCATATGCATACATAACCTATTGAAAGAAAAAAATCCGCAAGTGACTACATATTTAAATTACATATCCAGAATAGGCAAATCCATAGAGACAGAAAGCAGATTAGTGGTTGCCAGGGGCCTGAAAGACAGGAGGCAATGGACAGTACTTAATTGGTCTGAGTTTCCTTAGGGAGATAAAAATGTTCCAAAACTAGACAGAGGTAAAGGTTTCACAACATTGTAAATTTGCTAAATGCCAATGAATTGTACTCTTTAAAATAGTGGATTTTATACTATGTATATTTTATCACAATAAAAAAAAAATCAGACACCTAATCTCTCCACCAGAGAAATTTTATCACTTTTTTTTTTTTTTTAAGCAGTACTGGGGTTTGAACTAGGGCCTCATGCTTGCTAGCCAAGTGCTCTTCAGGCACTTGAAACACTCCTTTTTTGTGTTGGATATTTTCAAGGTAGGATCTCGTGAACTATCTGCCTGGGCTGGTCTCAAACCAAGATCCTCCTGATCTCTGCCTCCTGAGTAGCTAGGATTATGGGCATGAGTCACCAGTGCCCAGCTCACTTTCTTTTTATATCTTTAAACTCTACTTCTGGGGGGGAAAAAGGGGACAGGTAGAGGAAGGTTGGACAATAGTACCAAAACACATAGAGAAGTAGTAAGTTCTAGTGTTCTATAGCACAGTAGGGTAACTATAGATCACAATACCCTATCATATATTTTATGAATAACTACAAGGAGCTTGAAGGCTCCAAACACAAGGTAATGATGAGATAAAAACATAAATTACTCCTATTTGATAAGTACACACTGCATACATTTATTGAAATATCACACTGTACCCCATAAATATGTGTAATTGTTATGTTTTAATATAAACATTTTAATGCTTAAAGAAATGAAAATGTTAACTACCATGATTTTATCATTAGATACTGGCTACATATATTGAATTATCCATAGTACTCCATAGATTCATACAATTAAAGTGGTAAGTATTTTTTTAAAAAGAAACACATAAGCTGGGCACTGTAACTCATACCTATATTCCTATCTATCCAGGAGGTGGACAAAAAGATGATAGCAATCCAGGCTACCTTGGCAAAAACACAAGACCCTACCCAAAAAATAACTAAGGCAAAAGGGCTGGGGACATGGCTCAAGTAGTAGAGCTCCTACCTAGCAAGTGTGAGGCCCTGAATTAAGCCCCCAATACCAAGGAAAACAAAAAACAAAAACTAGAAAGTACAGCACTGAATATCCAAGAGATCTAAGGCCTCCTGTATTAATTTCCAAAAATGCTGTGGCAAAGTACCATAAACTGGGTGGCTTAATACAACAGAATTTGTTCTCTCACAGTATGGAAATCAGATATCCAAAATCAAGGTGTCAGCAAGGCCAGGATCTCCTTAAAGGTTCTAGGGGATAATCCTCTTTGCCTCTTTCTAGCTTCTGGTGGTTATCAGAAATCCATGATGTTCTTTCTCTAGTTTGCAGCATATTACTCCAATCTAAGCCTCTACTGTCACATAACCTTTTCCTCTGTGTGTGTATCTCTCTCACTCTCTCTCTACTCATAAAGACACAGTCATTGCATTTAGGATCCACCATAAACCAGTATGACTTTGCCTTAACATAATTACCTCTGCACAGACCTGATTTCCAAATAAGGTCATAGTCACAGGTATCAGGGTTTAGGACTTCATACCTTTTTGGGAAACACAATTCAACTCACTATGCTTTCCCTCTCCCAGGACTTGGTTTGCACAAGCCAAGGCTCAAAATATTGAGTTAGGTTGTTTGGAAAGAGAAGAAAAGGGCAGAAGTGGGCCTTTCTACTACAACCCCCAAAGAAAGCACATTCCCTATGGAAATGACTTTATTCTCACAAGGATATTATCTGCAAATGTATAGTTTTACAAAGAGACTTTAAGTACCCAGTTGAAAGGAGTGAAAATGTACTTATTGGAGTTCTTTCAGTTGAGAAAGAAACTGAACCTAAAATAGCTTATATAAAACTAGTATTACTAATAAATTAGATATTAAATATTATTAATATAATCTTGTTTGGCATAATAATGTACAATTTAAGAAATTAATGTGCATTTAAAAACTACATGTTGGAAGTAGATAGAAGTGAAGAGCATGCAACTTATTTTCAGACGATTCGGGGAGGGGGTTGGGGGAGGGAAAGGGACACGCAGAGAGAAGAAGATAAACAAGGCCTGAGGATGCAGTTCAGTGGTAGAGCACTAGTGTAGCATGCATGATGCCCTGGGTTAGATCCCCACCACCACAAAATACAGAGACAGAGCACAAATGAGGCAAAATGAGTAACTGCTAAATTCAGATTATTCTCTCAATCTTTCAAAATAAAAAGGTGATGTGGAGAAATAGGAACATATTATAACTGGGATATACAAGCTTGCACCTATCTTCAGAATGGATTAGATCTAGAATTAAAAGGATATCAAAAGGTGAATACCTATATATACTAAATGTCTCTCATCTCCATGCCTAAATGCTTTTCTACATACTACATCCCTCTCCAGCAATTCACCGTAGGGAACAAAACATTTCTCACAAAGCTCTTTTCCCCAATTTAACCTCTCCCTGAATAAGAGAGTATCAGGAGGTTGGCATACATTCCCTAGTCCAATGAATGGACTAAATCAGAGGAAGGATTAAGAGATTAAGGGCTCAGTAAATTAATTCTCTCTTCAATTTATCTTAACTCTTAACTCCCTTCTCATATTTAACAGGGATGAGAATGAAAAACTACTGTGGAACACAAATAAACTCTAATCAATAACACAAGCTATCTTATATCCCAGAGTCTAAATATCATTCTTTAATAAAGAGATTAGCTACTATGATAGAAAAGAAGCAGGCATATATGGATCACTACCTGCCTCAGGCTTGACAGTGAAGAAGAAAGCCTGGGAAAACAGGATATTCGCTTAACAAGGATGGAAGGAAGAAGAAAAAGCAAATCAGTGAGACAGAGTAGCAGCTCCTGAGACAAACCCAGAGCTGTCCCTAAGGATCTTCCTAATTGATACCAGCTCCAAAGTCTCTCTGAATCTTATCCTGACACCAGTTACTCTTTCGAAATTTACAAGAAGCACATAAATGGCACTAGGATAATGGACAATTGGGAAATACAGAATTCCTTTCTGTTCCAATAAGAAAGGAACCCATTCATATGTAAATTTCATCATTAAATCACAAGTTGAAGAACCTCCTTCAAAAGAATGGGGCTGGTGGAGTGGCTCAAGTGGTAGAACAACTGCCTAGCAAGCATGAGGCCCTGAGTTCAAGTCCCAGTGCTGCCAAAAAAAAAAAAAAAAAGAGGGTTAAGTGCTTAAGGCATTTATTGACTTGCACTGGCATCATGAGGATGGTAGTTATTATTCTGCAGCCCAAGAAAGGGGACCACCTCTTGGAATCTACTCAATCAACCAAATTTGGAAAAACATAGTCTTTTTTTTTTTGTGCAGTAATAGGGTTTGAACTTGGGGCCTACATCTTGAGCCATTCCACCAGTCCTTTACTATGATGGGTTTTTTCAAGATAAGGTCTCTCAAACTATCTGCCCGGGCAGGCTTTGAACCGCAGTCCTCCTAATCTCTGCCTCCTAAGTAGCTAGGATTACAGGCATGAGCCACCAGTGCCTGGCTTGGAAAAATATAGTCTTAAGGATGCCTTTCAGAAGACCAAATAAACATCTATGAACCACCTTAAATATATTTTTTAATTACCTGTTTCTGGAACAGATACAAAAAGAACCATAGTCATTATTTTAATGTAATTCAACAATGCAGGAATGGGACATATGTTAAAAGCTTGGTTTTCCTGTCATTATATACCTTAATAATTCAAATCTAATTAATTTGAAGTTACTTAACACTATAATAAATTAACAATTTACCCATTTCAAGTTTATCTCTTCAATTTTAGTAGTATTAGCATGTTTATCATAAAAAAATTAATTAAAAATTTAAATAATTAATTTTGGCACTTGAAGATCACATATGACCAGTAAGTTTCCTGTAAACAATCTTAAACATGTACCTATTGTAAAATACAAGATTTTAATTACATGGCTCTGTAATTACATGGATCTGTAATTGAAAACCCAAAGGTTTTTGTTGTTTCTTTTTGGGTAGTGCTGGGCATCAAACCCAGGGCCTTGTGCTTGCCAGCCAAGTGCTATACCACTGAGCCATATCCCCAGTCTTTCAGTTACATGATAATTAATCCAGTCACTAAAGATAAATTATGATAACAAATGATATGAATTGCCAGCAAGCTAGTGGTATTATATCAACAATTATCAAATATTGATTCTTGAATAATCATTTGAAAAATAATGTAGTGTGGCTGGTTAAGTATAACCCTCAACAATAAAAAGCACAGTCTTACCTGCAAGAAGTGGGTCTAATGTCACTGCAGATGCTTCTAAACAATATTTACTGCTGTATTTATCCCCATGATTAATTTCACGAGTACTTCCTTCAGTAGGCAAAAGATTTGAACTGCATATTCCAGGATCATTTTGTGACTGGAGAAAGGCATTATTTGCAATACCCTAAAAGAAACAAATATATATGTTAAGCACAAATTATCTAACTTCCCATATTGTTATATAACAGACTCCTAATTTAAAATAAATTACTAGTTTCTATATATCTAAATCAAGAGTAACTATTTTAAAATAAATTAAAACTAATTTCTAGGGCTGGCAGAGTAGCTCAAGTGGTAAAGCACCTGCCTAGCAAGCATGAGGCCCTGAGTTCAAACCCCAGTATTGCTCCCAAAAAACAAAAAAATCTAATTTCTATTGCTTGTTTTTAAAACCAATTTAAATTATGTTATCAAAGCTGAAATATATGACAGAATAAAAAGTATGTTCATAATTACAGGGTATTTTAAACAACGTATCAATAGAGTTTTTAAACAAATCAAAAAATGCCATTCTCATGGAAAATGGTCTTTTTCTTGCTAAATTTCCCTACTAAAATCAACACATAAATACTAATTCTTTAGAAGCAATAATGATAATGTCACTCTGTTGGTTTTGCTTAACCAGCCCTATAGATGTACCAGAAGCAGAAGCAAGGATACAAGAATCTAGTGATATGCTCCCCAAGGAGCCCCAAGGTCCCCGTGCTAAGATTCACAGCAGGTATCAACATCAAGAGCTGGACAAACACTTCTACATGGACAGGAACCCCAACTATGAGGCTCAGGTGGCCTTGGTTGCCGGGCTCAACCAGAAAGAGCAAAATATGCTGCTGGGATTCATAAGGCTCCAGCTGGAACTCCAGCCAAGAGAGCAGAGGTTACTGGAGCAGCAAGGCCTGACAGAGACCACATGTCTAACAAGCACCTGGAAACATCCCTCAGGTCACAGGCTCACAGATGAGCCCCCTCCACCCAGCCCATGGGAGTTCTTGTCCACAATGGAGTACAGCTTCTCACTCCCCTTCCAGGCCTGGGGGGTGGGCCAGGTGCTACACCTAGGAGGGCATCCTGGTTTCTGCTGTCAACCCTGGTCCAAGGCCCCTGTGCCTCCAAATCTTGACAGACACTGTGTCATCCCTGGGCTTCCAGAGACTCTTGGTCTCCCACCACAGCATCTGGGTGCCAAGATGGAGGTGGCACTGAAGATGAGAATGAATCAGGCCCAGGATGTTTCTGAGTCTATAAGGGGTTTATGCCTGAAGCACCCTAAAGGTCCTGTGGGAAAAGATCCAGGTGAGTCCACATGTGGGGTACTTTTTGCACTGTCTCCCCAACCTGATGGACTTGAGCATTTGCTGTCTTCCCTGAGCCAACACTGCTAAATGTCCCAGGTCCTGATTATGTAACAGGAGCATTTCTATAGGTCTCCAGACTAGGAGTAGAACTGCTGCTCATAAGTGTGTTTCCTTCAGCAGATGCTCCCAAAGAGCTTTCTGTGGGGCCCTACCTGTCCTCCCTGACACCAGGATTGTGAGGCTTTTTAACAATGGCTTGTCTGTTTTGTGCCTCTTTGTGGTTTTAATATTTATTTCCTTGATGACTGGCAGATTGGCCATTCTCTTGTGTTAGTTGAACATTAGAAATCTTCATGGCTTCTTTTCTTTTAATCCATTTTCTTCATCTGAATTTATTCTTCCATCCTCTTGAGAAAGTGCCTCAAACATTAAAAAATAAAGAGCCCTTTTATATTAATCATCTACTAAAAATTTACTGAAAAAAAATTTCTGGGATTTTCTTCAAAATAAGTGGGGAAGAACTACGAAGTAAGATTGGTCATAAATTATCAAGAGTTGAGGGCTGCACGCATGGCTCATGTGTTAGAGTGCCGTCCAGTTGCAGAGAATCAGAAATGGCAACATGAAGACTGAGATTCCATCTGCGGGCCTGTGGCTCACTACTGCAATCCTAGCTACCCAGGAGGCAGAGATTAGGAGGACTGCAGTTCGAAACCAGCCAGGGCAAATAGTTCACAGGACCTTATCTCAAAAAAACCCACCACAAAAAAAGGGCTGGTGGAATGGCTCAAGTGGTAAGAGGACCTGCCCAGCAACCATGAGGCTCTGAGTTCAAACCCCAGCACCACCAAAAAAATAAAAATAAAAGACTTGGATTCCATTGCTGGCCAGCTTCATGAGCCAAGGAGTGCAGGTGAAACTGGAAAAGGAAAGAAACAGATTCTTCCCTAAAACCTGAATGTTGTCCCGCTAAATCCTTGATCTTAGCCCAGTGAGATGTATTGTTCTTTTGACCTAAAGAGGTGTAAGATAATACACTTCTGTTGTCTTAAGCCACTAAATTTGTGGTAATTTGTTACAAGAGCAAGAGAAAACTGGTATTTCAGTAATAAGAATCAATTACTGGCACATGCTGCAACATGGATGAGCTTTGAAAACATTATACCAAGGGAAAAAAAGGAGTTATAAAATGACACATGCTGTGTGATTCCATTTATAATGGTCACAACAGGAATCTAGAGACAAAAAGTACACTAGCAGTACCAATGCTGGAGGGTTTAGAGAAAAATGAAAAGTGAATGATAATGTGTATAAGGTTTCTTTTAGGAATCATGAAAGTTGGTTGCTCTAAAATTGATTGTGGTGATAGATGCACAACTCTGTAAATATATTAAAAAAGAAAAACTGACTTTTAGTAAGTAGATTTTATGTTACATAAATTAAATCTAAATATTTTTTTAAATTAAAAACCCTTATCTAAAAATGAAAACCTAGCCCAGCACCAGTGGCTCACGCCTGTAATCCTAGCTACTCAGGAGGCAAAGATCAGGAGGATCATGGTTTGAAGCTAGCCTAGGCAAATAGTTCCATGAGACCCTATCTCAAAAACCCTTCACAAAAAAAATAGGGCTGGTGGAGTGGCTCAAGGTGAAGGCCCTGAGTTCAAGTCCCAGTACAAAAAAATAAATAAATAAATAAATAAAAATGAAAACATATGTTTTCTCCTTACAGTGTGCCAGAATTCTTACTTTGGTAAGTGTTAACAATACACTTGAAAGACTACAGCAATTTTTAATTGATTTACCATTTGATCCAGCAATACCATTCTTCGGTATATACCCAAAAGACTGTGACACAGGTCACTCCAGAGGCACCTGCACACCCATGTTTATTGCAGCACTATTCATAATAGCCAAGTTATGGAAACAGCCAAGATGCCCCACTACTGATGAATGGATCAAGAAAATGTGGTATCTATACACAATGGAATTTTATGCAGCTATGAAGAAGAACGAAATGTTATCATTCGCTGGTAAATGGATGGAATTGGAGAACATCATTCTGAGTGAGGTTAGCCTGGCTCAAAAGACCAAAAATCGTATGTTCTCCCTCATATGCCAACATTAGATCAAGGGCAAACACAACAAAGGGATTGGACTTTGAGTACATGATAAAAGCGAGAGCACACAAGGGAGGGGTGAGGATAGGTAAGACACCTAAAAAGTTAGCTAGCATTTGTTGCCCTCAACGCAGAGAAACTAAAGCAGATACCTTAAAAGCAACTGAGGCCAATAGGAAAAGGGGACCAGGAACTAGAGAAAAGGTTAGATCAAGAAGAATTAACCTAGAAGGTAACTCACATGCACAGGAAATTAATGTGAGTCAACGCCCTGTATAGCTATCCTTATCTCAACTAGCAAAAACCCTTGTTCCTTCCTATTATGGCTTATGCTCTCTCTTCAACAAAATTAGAGATAAGGGCAAAATTATTTCTGCTGGGAATCGAGGGGATGGCGGGGAGAGGGAGGGGGCAGAGTGGGTGGTAAGGGAGTGGTTGGGGGCAGGGGGGGAGAAATGACCCAAGCATTGCATGCACATATGAATAATAAAACAATAAAAATTAAAAAAAAAAGGCTATAGCAATTTTCAAAATGTGGGGTAAAAGAAATTCACACAGACCAAAAATTAGTAGGTTTCTGTCGGGTACACATAGCTCATGCCTATAATCTAGTCACCTGGGTGGGTGAAATTGGGAGGATCAAGGTTCAAGGCTAGACAGGGCAAAAAGTTCTGAAGACCCCATCTCAACCAATAGCTGGGTGGGGTGACTCACGCCTAACATCCAAAGTTATGTGGGAGGCTGAGATCAGGAGATCACAGTTCCAGGCCAGCCAGGGTAAAAAAGTTTGTGAGACCTCATCTCATGGGAAAAAAAAAGCTGGGCATGGTAGTTCATACCTGTAATCCCAGTTACAGTGGAAAGAGTAAAACAGGAGATCAATGGTTCAGGATGCCCTCAACCAAAAGGGAGACCCTATCTCCAAAATAACCAGAGTAAAAAGGGCTGGAGGCTTGGCTCAAGTGATAGAGTACCTGCCTATCAAGTGTGAAGCCCTGAACTCAACCCCCAGTACCACCAGCAAGTAAATAAATAAAATAAACAAATAAATAAATAAAGATTACTGGACTAGTGATATAAATCATTATGTATTTTTCTCTTCAAATCACTTTACTGGGGATTACACACCTGTAATACAAGCACTGGGGAGGCTGAGGCAAGAGGATCATAAATTCAACACCAGCCAATAAATCTTAAAAACTAAGTAAATAAATCACCTTATCTAAAGTTTTCACTTAGTAATGTAGTAATTAAAAAGAATGCTAGCCAGGTACCAATGGCTCACACCTGCCATCCTTGCTACTCATGAGTCAGAGATAAGTAGGATGGCAGCTCAAAGTCAGCCCAAGCAAATAGTTAGCGAGACCCTATCTCAAAAATATCCATCACAAAAAAAAAGCTGGTAGAGTGGCTAAAGTGGTACAGCACCTGCCTAGCAAGAGTGAGGCCCTGACTTCAAACCCCAGTGCCAACAAAATAATAATAATAAACAAAAATAATAAATAAAAAGAATACTGATTAGAATAATTTTATAAGAATCTCCACCCTCTCCCTCAAAGATATTTTTATTTACTGTTACCAAAAGTGTACTTTGTAGATTAAACTGCATGTCATTTCTTTTTTAAAAAATTATGTAATCATTACAAGTTTATGTAATTATAAACAAGTTCAACAGCTAGTAAGATTTTTGGTTTTCATAAAAAGAGGTGCTGTAAGGCTAATGGAGTAACAAGAGACTGCCTGCCTGAGTTCAGACCCCAGTACGACACACACACACACACACACACACACACACACACACACACACAAGAGCTATTGAAAAGAATTTAAGGTTTAATTGAATGGTATAAACTTAAGCATGTATTATATCAATAAACAGATAATAGATAATCACATTATGCTAAACCGATTTAGATAAAAATGCCAAATCTTAAAAGATTTTTTTAAGACTTTGTCAAAGATACTAAAAATTTCTATAGGCAGAAGGAATTGATATCTCTTTAAATGGCATTTTTTAAAAATTCGTGTTTCTCATATTATGATTCCCTTTTTTTCACCTGAAATAATTTTATATCTGGATTCCGTTTTGTAGTCTCTTCATTCAGACTTGAAGCACTTCTCCCTGGAGGCACGAATTTTGGTTTTTTGAAGGAATTCCCCTGGAACTGGCTTGGTGCTACAGATCGTCTCATCTTCAGCAGCAATAATCTGAAAAAAACAGAAATCACCCAGGAGTATGATTAAAATCTACAAAATAAAATCAACTCAAACTGGGCACCATGGTACATGTCTGTAATCCCAGCCTTTGGGAGGTTGAGGCAGGAAGATCCAGAGTTCAAGGACAGACTGGGCTATTGTAGTAGGACCTTATCTCAAAATACAAAAAAAAAAAAAAAGTTCATCATCACAACCATGATATATTTTAAAAAGAAAATAAGCCTTAAAAAACAAGTTGAACAGCTAGTAAGATTTTGTTTTTCATAATAAAGAGCTATTAAAAAGAATTTAGAATCTAAGTTGAATGGTATAAATTTGAACATGTTATTAAACAATAGATAATTATATCATCTTTAACCAATCTAAATAAAAATGTCAAAATCTAAGGGAACACAATTATTCACATACATATATCAAACATGTTGCTTTTTTCTATTTCACTAACCTGTAAGTAGCAATAATGTTTGTTTTCTGCACCATTCTAAAGCCAATACTAATCATAATGACAGACACATTATATTATATTCCCTAACAAAATTTTTAAATGAAAGTAATCTCGGAAGTTTAAAAGATATTTATAATTCAATTTGTTTTTACTACCCTTTTTCCTTTTAAAATAGTGGATTTTTTAAAATATTAATGAAGAAACTAGAATCAAGTTTTCTTTTCTTTTTTTTTTTTTTTGAGACAGGATATATGTAACCCAGGCTGGCCTCGAATTCTTGATTCTCCTGCCTCGGACTCCCAGATGCTAGGATTATAGGCTTGTATTACTATGCCTAGCTAACTTTTCTAACTTTTGCTCAACATTATTTCCATTAGAAGTGCATAGCAGATGGAATACAAGAACATTACATACAAATATCACTCCAATTAACTGCAATTTCCCAAACACTAGACAACCTATCACTACCAAAATTGTTTAACCCAGAAATGCCACTTTTGGCAATCTACCTTAAGAAATTCTCAAGAAAACCCTTAAAGAATTATGTATAAGAATAATCATGCTAGTGTTACTTATAGCAGAAATAAAAAAGGAAATCCATGTCCATAATGCAGTACTGGATAAATTATAGTACACCCTCCCATATAACAGAATATATTCTCTTCCTATGCCACTAAAATTCTGTAACTACAGCAGCTCCTCAAGGAGGCCATGTTCTCTTTTCCTCTAGGCCTTTGAACAATCGTTGTTCCCCTATATGGTATTGGGAATGCCACTTTACCCTTTATGACTCGTAACTATGACGCTTTTTTTTTTTTTCAGTACTACAGTTTGAACTCAGAGCCTTCGGCTTGAGAAGTGGTTTTTGTGGTTCTCTACCACATACCCAGCCCTCTATGAGCACTCTTTATCCCCCAACTGCCTGAGTATAGACCCCTCTAAGGTGTGCACTAGCCAAGCATTTTTCATGCTGCAATTAAATTGCCACATTCTCTCCCCTAAACTGTAAACTCCAGAATGAAGTTTTATACAGGTTGAGCATGCCTAATCTGAAAATGCTCCAAATGAAATCAAAATACTCCAAAATCTGAAACTCTGAGCACAAACACAGCACTGTAAGTAGAAAATTTCACACAAGATCTACTGAAGCAGGTCATGGTCAAAATAGTTATACTAAAAATATTGTATAAAATTACCTTGAGGCTGTGTGTATATGTATATACACATACATATATATGGTGTATGTGAAATAAATTAATTTTGTGTTAAGACTTAGGATATAAGCTAAGTGGCAGAGCATTTGTCTAGAATGGGTGAGGCCCTGAATTTGAGCCCCAGTATTTCAGAAAAAGAGAAAAAAAAAACTTGGGTCTCATCCCCAAGCTATTTTATTACATATATGAAAATATTCCAAAATTTGAAAAAAAAAAAAAAAGCCAAAATTCAAAACACTTCTGGTCTCAGGCATTTTAGATAAGGAATATTCAACCTGTGTTCCATTTAACACCATATAACTAGTACTAAATATATAAAAGCAATTTGATATTGTTATATGAATGATACAGTGGAGGAAAAAAATGTACTTTAGAAGAATGTTTAATGACATGTTTTTTAAAGAACAAATGAAACAAGGCCGCCATAAAACATACTCAGTTTCATTTCAATTTTTCAAAAACAGGAAAAAAAATAGTATCTATGTGCTTTTAAAAGGTTAGAAAACAAAGCAGCATGAGGAAACTTTCTGCAATGATAAAAATAATCTATATCAGATTTCAGTATGGTTACAGGGGGATGTATATATCTGTGTATCAAAACTCATTAAAGTAGCTGGGCATATAGCTCAAGTGGTAGAGCACTTGCCTACAAAGCCCTGGGTTCAATACCAACACTGCAAAAAAGTTTTTGTTCTTTAATTCAAAACAAAACCGAACTGTACAATGTAAATTATACTACTATAAAGTATATAAAACATATCTAATATAAAATTTTTTATAGACAGAAAAACACATGTTACAATGCTAACACTGATTATCTCTGGGTGTTAGAATGGTAATTTTTATTTTCTTCTGAGTTTTTTTTCACATTTCTGTTTTTTTTCTTGGTAGTACCGGGATTTGAACTCAGGGCAAGTGTTCTACCACTTGAGCCATGACCTTACACCATGTATTTTGAATTTACTATAATAAAAATGTCACCTTTGTAATAAAGTACCATTAAGTACTTTAACATATTTTGTTAAATCTAAAATGCCATCAATTATAAGGTGTACTTTTAAACTGCAGTTGATCACTGATAATTAGACATTTTCCAGTTTCTACATTAAAATAGTGAAATATCTCAAGTATGTAAGACTTTCATAGTTTAAGGGATTAAAATGGAGGTCACTCTACAGTTTCAGATCATGAAATGTAGTATGTCCTCTATATTAAGTCAGACTCAAAAGCCAATTTTGCACTGGCACCTTTTTAAAGAAACAACAGAGAAAATATAGTACCTAGAAACAGAAATTAAAGAAACACAGTGTAGTGCAGACTATGCACTTTAGGAATGCTTAACTTTGGGCAAGGTGTTTTGTTGTTTAGTGTTTCTTTGTTTCATTTTAAAAAAGGTCTTGCTATGTAGTCCATACTAGCCTGGACTCTGTAAGTAGCCTAGGCTAGCATCAAACTCAAGATCTTCTGCCTCAACCTCCCAAGGGCTGTAATTACAGGCATGTACCATGTCACCCGACTGATGCTACAAGTTCAGATGTATATAACATCCACCTGCTTCAGTCTTCCCAAGTAAGATGACCAGGCTGACCACTAGAGCACATCAGACAGCCTTCCTCACCTACAGTGTAGTAATTAATCGCCCAGCTTTGAAGGTAAATGCCAGAATATAAACCTAGATTGGCATTCCTAGCATGGGATCTTGCACTGTTTGCTTAATCACTGTGTTTCCTCATCTATAAATGGGATCGCTTTAATTGCACTGACAGAACTGTTGGATTAAATGAAAAACTTAAAGAATGTAGAATAAAGGTTGACACACACAGTAAATACTCAATATCTGTAACCTACAATTATTTTGGGGTGCTTAATACATAGGTCCTATGAGCAGAGATCATAAAAGCCCGATGGGGAAGGAGAACAGTTGTATAGACAGGACAATGCCCACAATCTATGCCTTCCTTCGGGCAACCGTCTAACTTCTAGGAAGCAACAATATGTATTTTCTTAATTGCACCAATACCCAGCCACAGACTTCCCCTGCTGTCTCTACCTTTTGCCTTCCAGCTACATTAGGTAGTAATTATTTCACTTCATGTCTTAAGTTCTCCTTTGATATCGATATCTCGCTATCAAAATACCTGCCTACAAAATCTTCCACAAGGTAACGAAAAGTTGTTTAAAGGTCCTGTATTCCATTCCCAGCACCGCCAAAACAAGAAAAAAAATTTTTTATAAGAAAAAAAATTTAACCGCCCCTCGGGAGCCTCTCCACACGAACCACCGTCCGCCCTCACGGCCCTCCGGATCCTCCCGCCGCCTTCCTTCCCCTCAGAGCCCTGCTCCAGCGCCATTCCCCCACTTTGTCCAGTACGAGCCACCTGGCTGTCGCTACCTCCCTACCCTTCCCCTCCAGGGACGCACCCGCGAGAACCTGACAGAAATTGCGAGGCCAGGGAAGCAGCGGCCCAGGTGGACCAGAAACGCTTATCGCCAGAGATGATCAAAGCTCCCGCCTCCGCGCAGCCAATGGCAGGCCGGACACTGCGCATGCGCACCACCTCTCGTGTGCAGCACCTCCTCCAGCCAACTCTGATTGGACGACCTTTGCGCGTCACTGCGCATGTGCCTTGCTCTCCTCTGGAAATGCTTCCAAGTTTGATTCCGGTTTACAGTTCAATGTTTAAAATAATACTGGCTTGGACTGGTGGAGTGGCTCAAGTGGCAAAGCGTCTGCCTAACAAGTGCGAGGCTGTAAGTTCAAACCCCAGTACTGTCAAAAAAGGCTTGTTTCTTATAATCAGACAGCTGAGGCTAGACCTCACAGCCTATATGAGTAATAATTGTGGGAATCAACTAAAGTCAGGTCTTTTCTGTCAAAGGAATTAATGTATAACTGTCATTATGTAGATGCCAGCCAACCTCCCCGAATTGCTACGTACATGCTTTGTGAAACGTTGCTTGACGTCCTAATCTCAAACTGCTTGCTTACCTTTTTAAGGTTTCATTCCTTTGACTATGTCAACTCCTCTATGTTAGGGCAAATGTCAGCCGCCCACCCACCCACACCCACCCCAATCTACAGGGGACCTTGAGAAATCGCTCTCACTGAGCTGTATACCATGAGTAATCACTCTCATTGAGTTGTAAAATGTCACTGTGTCAGAAAACCTTGCCCTTATCCCAAACAATAGCTAATCACAAAGATTGTGAACCCAAACCCAGTTCAGGATGAGACAGACTTAACATGAGGGATAAAAACTGAGCAGATTCCCCCCACCCTCCACCCCAGTGTGCTCTGCATATCAGACTATGGTCT